GTTACACAATTTTCTCATTTATTACTCTTGAGAATCCCTGCTATTAGTACTAAAAGCCAGATGTTTTTCCCTGCTCGTGACTATAAACATCATACAGATGACCCCAGTAACCTGAGTTACCCTGCCAAATACTTCTAAATATTCTCTCCACCTGTGATTAGCAAACAGTCAGAGAGGAGTGTTCATTTTCACAGCTACTCTTACCCCTACTGCTTCAAAGCCTCATTATTTTTTGTTGCTGTTTGCAGGGAGTATGTGCTTGTTTTCTCTGCACCTATAATATCTGCCATTTCAGATAGACATTTTCCATTTCTTACTGAATAGAAAGCACGAACTAGAGAAGTCGACAGCAATTCTTCTTACATAATGCAGAGTATTAATGATTTGAGTAGAAGCATTAGTTATTGTGACACATTCATCCCCTATTTAATTATAGAAGAGTCTGTCTTATGTTTTGGTTAGATTTAGAGTCTGTTCACTCAAAGGAGAAGCTGATGGTTCCAGTAAAGGTCTCTCTCTTTTAATTCAGATCACAGTATAAACATTAATCCAGCTCAACAGTTAAATGTCATAATCTAGCACTGCCAATTCAGAATAAGCAATACAAGGAATGTAAACTTTTTTTCTGAATTTAAGGATATGCATATGTGCTAGTCAGTTCCAGAGGTGAGGTCAGAGTGGGGACCTTAGCTTTTGTAAGTTCTTGAACTCTTCACATTTTTCAACATCTTCCTCAGTTCTAAGAGTCAAACCATTTCTTCCAAAATTATTCCTTTTCTTCTTAAGCCAAGAACATTGGTGAGTACAGGGACTAGGCTATGTCCGGGACTCACTGACCTTTAAGTCTTCATTCTGATTTCAATCTGTGTAACTCATTGGCTTAAGAAAATATATTTGCTTTGTTCAGCTGCTGGATATTCTGTGTTTAATTACTTTTTAAATGTTCTTTTTTTCCTTTTATTTATGATGTGAATTCTGTTATAACTAGTCACATCAATTTTCAAAACTAGCGTATAGATTGTAGGGAATGTATTGATTGTTATGAGATACGTTAACATAGCAGCACTGTAAATCTATTCCAGGATACAGATGGGAACTGAGCCATAGATCACTAATATATTTGAAAAAGAAAACAAATAGGATCTTAGAAGAGATGAGAAAGACATCAGGTGAATACATAAGTGAAAAATTTATGTCCTCAATATGTAAGAAGGCCTGATGTAAGCTTTCATAAAATATAAAATGTATCACACCTTTATGCATCAGAACTCCAAACAGCAATTTATTCTACACACTGACTAGTGAATAATTTCCTATTGACTGGAAGAAACAGTAAATAATCCAAGGGGAAGGGTGATTCATTCACCGACTTATACATTCATTTATTTGGTCCACAACAAACAATTACAAAGCATCATACATGTGTCACGTATTTTTCTCCTTTATCACCAATAAAATCTGGGAGCCCTGGGCATGATGGTTGTGGTGGTTTGAAGAGAAATGGTCCCTAAAGGCTCATATATTTGAATGTTTGGGGAGTAGCATTTTGGGGGGTAGGTGTGAATGGGGATGGGATTCATAGAAGGCAGGGGGAATAGGAGGTTGGGAGGGAGGGGGAACTGGGATTGGGATATAAAATAAGATTGTTTTAAAAATTTTTAAATGTGAAAAAAATAATTTAAAATGTTATTTTTATTGCCATTGCAAAAAAAACAGACTAGCAGAATGGATGTAAAATCAGGACCTATTTTTGTGCTACATCTAAGAAGTACATCTTATCATCAAATATAAATATAACTTTAAGGTAAAAAGATGGGAAAAATTGTTCCAAGCAAATGGGACTAAGTTGGTATGGGCATTTTTATATCTGACAGAATAAATATCAAAGCAAAAGTTATTTGAAAAATAGGAAAGGACACTAACTACTCATCAAAAAAAAAAAAAAAACGAGAGACTATTACTATTCTTAATATCTATGCCCTAAAATATAGGGTCACCAAATAAACACTAAAAAGGAAAAACTATTACATCTTAAATCGGACACTGACCTTCGCAAAATGATAATGGAAAATTGAAACATCCCTTTATTTACAATAAACATATCATCCTCATTGATATTAGCAGAAATGTTGAAGCAAACTGACGCTGTAAACCAAATGTTCCAAAATGGATTTTTATATAACATTTAACAAAACACAAAAGAATATACTTTCATCTCATGGAAATTTCCCCAAACTGACCAAAACAAGATTCAAAAGAAACAACAACTAAATTAAACAATACTATGCATCCTCTCTGAACCCCAAGGATTATAACTGCATATCAACAAAACCAGAAACAACAGAAATCCTACAAACTCATGGTAACTGAATCACTCACTTCTTGATGAAAAACCTGTCAAGGCAGGAATTAAGAAAAAAAGTAAATATCTTTCTAGAATTAACTGAATACTCCAAATTTGTGAGATACATGAGGTTTTTCTCATACTAATATCATAACATCACACCTGAAAACTCTAGAACAAAAGGAAGTAAACACACTCAAAAGTTACAGAGGCAAGAAATAGTTAAACTCTTGGCTGAAAACAATAAAATAAAATCAAACAAATCAACAAAAATATAAAGAATCAATGAAATAAAGAGTTGATTCATTAATAAAAATAAATAAGATTAACAAACCTTTATCCAAATAACCAAATTACCTGAAGGCAGAGAGATAAAGTACAAGTTAACAAAATTAGAAATGAAAGGGGAGACACAACAACAGAAACTGAGGACATTCAGAGAATAATGACATACTTTATAAACATGTACTCCACAAAATTAAAAACTCTAAAAGAAATGAACAATTTTCGCTATACCTACCACTTAGCAAATTAAAGTCAAGATCAGATACACAATTGAAATAGCCCTATCATCCTCAGCATCCAGCATTTCTTTCTTTTTCAATGTCTGGTAACACTGATATTTGACACAGTAAAAGGCAGGGAGTGACATTACATCTAGATAATCACAGTGGGTTAGAAATGTAGACATGTACCCACCAGCGTAATTATCCTCATCAGTCCTCGTTTCTCACACAGCTCTGAGTCCATTCCCCCTTAACCTGCTTTCGGTTTTGTCCCTGAATGACTTGTACTGTGCTCACCAACAGATGACAAATTTCACAAAACTTCCCCTCCTTGTCCTCTCTGGGTTCTTTAATTCATAAATTTTCGTAATTTTTTTTCTGTTCTTTACTCATCTCTACTCAACATTTCCTACAGACACATGAAGGTTTAATTCCAATAATAAATCCCTGAATTTAAATCAGTGTTTTTTTTTCTACTCAAACTGCTATAAGAAAGTCTTTAATATTTTATTGGACTGGCTAGAGTAATATTCACAGATAAGGAAACCTTTCTAGAGGAAACAATAAAGATATTCCCAGATGGGTGAGACCACAACAATTCCAACAGGAACCTCTCCAAAGACTTCCCGTCAGTCTCTCTCTCTCATGCCCTGCTGTGGCTGTGGCATGGCCTGAGAAGCAAAGGATGCTACAGCAGTGTCAGGGTGCTGACTTCATCCAATCTTTCTGTCATTATGCCCTTCTGTATGAATTCAATAAACCCAGAATGAACAAAGGGATTACACAATGACTTTATGCTAAACATACTCCCCTCTCCCGAAAACTCAACACAATAACCAAGATCTACAATGTGTGTTTCTACTGAGTAACATGTGCAGTAGCTGCTCAGTATTGTAGTATGGCAAGCTGGAAATTAAGAATTATTGTTAGATTATACAGATAAGATTTAGAGTCAGAGTATGAGAGTAAACATTCATTTGTCTCACCCCAGAGAACAAGTTGGTGTTTGTCTATTAGGCTACTGTATTAGCCTTACAATTATCTCAATTCCTCTCTTATTCATTCCCTCTTGTTCCAGTATCACTTTTTTGTCTTTTACATTTCTTGTTTATTTGATTGACTTTTCTAAAAAACACAGTGTTTTACAGATTTAGAATGTCCTCTGACTCTAGCCTTTGATTCCTGTTTTTCTTTACTTTCTCTTTGTGAGAATGACTCACTTTGACCTGTTTCTGTTTTCCATTTTAAACTTGGGTAAGAGTTACATAATTAGAAAAAAACAAAGTAGCCCTCTTTTGTTTTGAAGAGTTGGGACCTGGGAAATCTTTTCTATGAAGAAGATGTGACTAGAGTCTTTCTTTGCAGTCCTGATTCATCACACCGTCCTCCACGGCAGTAAGTTCAGGTCACACCTTTCTCTGTCCAGTTTCCTCCCATACCCCCAGTGAATGGTTTTGTGTCACTTGCCAAATCTCTGGCTCAATGACACTGCAGTGGCTCTTGGCTGCCTTTTTTTCCAGTACAGCCAAAAGCTTGAATATTGAAGTGTTGCAATAAATTCTACATGGCTTAAATAGCTACTCTGTGTCATTCTGATAGAACATCCCAATACAAGGTATCAACAGAATACTAGCTTTATTAATCAGGTGAACTTATAAACATTATTTCTTACTTACTTTTAAGTAACGATAATATAAATTTCTTGAGACAGCAGCATAGCAAGCATCCAAAATTCTAGTGTGTCAATGTTACAATGCAAATCATTCCATTTCTAATGCTGAGGTAAATGTTTATTTACTTCTAAACATCTGCCTCATTTTGAAGTTACTTTATTTTTTTAATGTATGATATTTCGCCTGCATATATGCCTTCACATCATGTGAGTGTCTCGTGTTTGTAGATATGAAAAGAGACAATTAGACCCCTGGAATTGGAATTATAGATGATCGTGAGCTGCTTTGTGTGTGCTGAGAAATGAACACAGTTCCTCTGTAAAAACAGCAAATACTTGGTGTAGGAGTTCCTACTGTTTGTGTGTTGCTTTCATTGGTTAATGAATAAAGAAACTGCCTTGACCTAGTTAAGAGGGCAGAAAGTATGTAGGCAGGGAAGAGAGAACTGAATTCTGGGAGGAAGAAAGCAGAGGAGGAGAAATATGCCATGGATCCACCAGAGACAGACGCTAGGAATTTTACCTGGTAAGCCTCTGCCACATGGTGATACACAGATTAATAGAAATGGGTTAAATTAAGATGTAAAAATTAGCAAATAAGAAACTAGAGCTAATGGGCCAAGCAGTGATATAATTACCACAGTTTCTGTTTGGTTATTTTGGGGTAAGGTAGCAGGATGACCGGGATGAACAAGCAGCCCTCCCCATGCAACAAGCACTCTTCACTACTGAGCCATGTCTCCAGACCCAACACACTACTAATTGATAAAGCAAAGAACTAACTTTTCAGCTTTTGTTTTGCTCATGCTTCAAATGTTATAGAATGTAAGGTTATATTTTATCCCTAATCACTGCTACAAAAACTAGCTTGAAAATAAGGTTCCTGAATAACACAGTAAAAAGTATCCAACGCTACTGTCCTCTTCAGTTTTAGGCCTTGATATAAAACTACCATGCAATGACTTCAGTCCATCCCCACACCTAAGCCGGCAGCACATCATGTTTTCTTAGGGAAGTCAGAAGGTATTCTTTCAGACACAAGCGTCCTTCCATAATCCAGAAGCTATACCCAATTGATAACTGCTCACAAAGGGAAAAATAGTTTTCTCCAACAGTCTTACTGGGTATACAAACCACACTTAAGGGTAGTTCCCATGCCCAGCAATAGATAAACAAAAAGGAACTCAAGGGCATTTTTAAGTTTGGTTTGTTTGCTTGTTTCACAAAGCATTATTGGGATTTTTCTTTTCCTTATAGATTTTTTTGTTTATATATTATGATTTCTGAATTTGTTTTTAAAGGTTTTATATGTGTGCGGATGTCTGCCTTTCAGTATTTGTATGTGTTTCTTTAGCTTTTTCTTTGACTCTTGTCTTTTTCCATTTGTTTATTTTGACTTAGTCCACTTTATTTCTGTTAGAATTTTATTGTTGTTATTAGATATCTCTGTATTATAACAAGAAAGAAAGGACATAGACTTGTGTGACTGGAGAAGTTGGGTGGGCATAGGAGGAGTAAAGGTAAAGGAATCTGTAGTTAGAATACATCTTTTAAAAAGCTGTTTTTCATATAAAGAAAATAAATGTGAAATTCAAGTTTTTAAAGATTTCTAAAAGTCACACAGCTTCACTCATTGAATCCATGCACTGAACAATTGCTTTAAACACTGAGAAACTTCTTTTTAAAGTTAACTAACATCAGTTCTTCTAGAGCACTCTTAGGCCCTCCCTTTCTCTTTGTCCTACTCTTAGTCAAAATTGAGAATGGATGCTCAAAATATCACCTTACTTACACAAATCTCCCCCACAGTGTATGCCCTGTGAACATTTTATTAGTGTTTTTCCCTCTTTGGATACAAAGTCTAACAAGATTCTAAACATTTACTGAGTTAAGAAGAAATGTTCATATTGATTCTACCACCACATAAATTCTTACCAGGGGTGTGTCAAATAACATTTTCAGAAGGTAGACAAGGGTGTAGTGTTTCAAAATTCTCAAATTAGCTACACAAATAATCTCAAAGTATAAAATAATATCCATATAACACTTATGTCTTCCAAGAAAGGATATAACATAGCTGTTCTTTAATGTTTATTAATTTAATAAAAATCATCTTAGATGTCCAATAGCTTCTGAGTATATCTAAAAGATGTTTATAGAGAGATTTCATTTGAAACTTTTTGAACTCTAACAAATGTCAACTTTTTTTCCAAAGTGTGATAGCAATTCAGATTCTGAAACTGTCTCTTTCCTGCATATATACACATAGTCCAGATGTGAATAGCATTTACTTTGACTATATTTATTTTAATGAGATAAACACATTCCAAGTAATTGGATGAAATATGAAAATGTATATTTAAATATTAAACCTAAGTACTTTTATTTCAGAAAAATAATAGAAAACACACTAGAATTCATGAAAGATGTTAGAAATTTAAATATTAAATTATAATATAAAACATATTTTTTAAATAGATAATTGTTTTATAAATTTTCTATGATATAAGGAATTTTGCATCTGTAACTAAATCATTATGCCCACAGGTGATAATCTAATCTTTTTATTCTATGCATTTTCAGGACTGTATGATCAATTTAGAATGGTCTACTTTGCTGATTCAGTGGAAATCCACAAAATAAAAACAATAAACTAGAGATTTGTGTGTGTGTATATATATATATATAAACAAATCTCTAGTTTACATATATATATATATATATATATATATATATATATATAAAACTTCACATTTGTAAATAATATGTCTTCCTGGCCTCATAATATTCTTGTTAGTAGGTAGAACACATATATATAAGCAGGCATACTATCCAGTCCACCACCTAGCAATGTTTCAGATGCTGGGAAACTCCCCAAATTAATTTATAGGACAGTATTCCTCAATATTTTATTTTTTATTTCCTGTGAAATCCTGAGAGAAATGATAAATATTTAAATAAAAATTTAATGAAATTTGCAAACATTAATGTCGTGTGTGTGTACATAAATACGATTTTGCCTAAATTGAATTTTTAATGATAAATAAGATATTTTTAAAGACATGTTAATCCAATGTGTTCTGTAAAACTGCCAAATTAAAATAATTAGGAAAACACAACTCACATTTGATTCATTCCACAATATCTACTACTGTTGTCTTATTAACATTGTTTAATTTCATGAAATAATTCTAATTTGTTCAAAATGCAGAAAGTCCTTGGAGTGGCTGCCTAGAATACTAATGTGCTCTTCAACAATTTACTGCTTTATCTTATTTAGTCAGTCAACGAGAATTATAAAAAAAAATCCTAAAGAAAAATAACCTTCCATAATGCTAGAAAGATCTTTTATAATACCAGCTCCATAAGAGTTTGAGGCAGGGGGTTGGAAGCACAAGACCTACAGAGTAAGTACAAGGCTAAAACAGTGATAGCAATAATATACTTGAAGTATATAACACACACACACATACACACACAGACATACATGCACACCCTATAGCAAGAAAATAAGTTAGCTATATCAGCACTATTTTAATTTTACAAATTTTACTTTGTCTTTTATTGAGATTAACCAGCTTTTATCATTTGTTTTTGATAGGGGAGTATCCATTAGAAAGAAACAAGGAGAACTGAGAAAAAATGAAAAATACCAACCAACCAAGCTAAAGTTTATCTAGTATGTGATTGCTAAAGAAGCCAGAGTTTTGTGTGGAAATGCCTTAAATTATAACACCATTTCAATCATTCCAAACATATATTTGAAAGTCTTGAAACAATAAGGTAAAAGTTGCATTATTTTGTTTCTTTATATAATGTACTATGAAATCGCTAGCATGTATTTCCACAATACTTGAGGTACTGGACAAGATTTCCCAAGGAAACTTTTAACTTTATAATTAATATTATGTTGGACAGAATCGATCAAGTTTCTGGTACTAACTACATATGAAAAAATTAATACAAGGTCACCTTTGATTCTACTTTTTTGAAAATGACAATAACAGTGATGGCCAGCACATTAGGAGCTGCCACTTAAAATTAGGGAAATCAATCACTTTCTTTCTTCAGCTGATTCTCCACTTACAGTCTGATATATGCTGCGTCAATTAAGTATTCTAATTCCTGGCAATTTGCTTGTCACAATATTATGTCTATTACTGGCATTAGTAGGATTTTCCTGCCATGTGAGAGACAAAAGTGCTACAGTACTCCTCATGTGAGTATAAACAGGAGTATAACTACTGTTTCTATTATTCAGGAAACACTGGGGCATATTTAAAATGTCACCCAAAGTAGCTCAGCATTGCAGGAAATAGAAAACTCTTAACTATTGACTAGTGACCCCAGCACGTTAGAATAATTCCTTCAAGTAGGTCCATGCCTCCTGACACTTGGCCAGGATATGCAAATGTACTCTTGCTCTTTCTTTTGTAACTATGAATTCACCTGGGGAGAAGCAGTCTTCAGTATAAGCAGTCGCTACATAGACAACAGAATGGTAATAATTTGCTGTCTTGGAGTGAAAATGTGATTAACTGTGTGAGTTATCCTTTATATCATGTTACTAAAACCTTTTGTTACCTTCTCCCCAGTTTAAGTGGAAAATAAACATGGGTGATTTCAGGATTTAAGTCACTGGAATGCCCTTCTGATATGCTCTATGTGTCCTATTATTTTTTATGCGTCTTCATATTCTTTACTCATATTTCTAAAATTCTCATGCCCCTACCCTGGTAAGAGGTATTTTTTTTTGAGGTCAGTCCTTGACAATTATCTATCCAGCAATCTATCAATAATCATAAGCTCTTAATTGCCTCCATTTCATTATGGGATATATTCATTCATTTTCTTCTTTGTGATTTTGTGATAAGTATATTATGGTGCGGGAGAATTGTCTGTATTCTGTCAATCATGTTTTAAATAAATGCTGATTGGCCAGGCAGGAGGTGTAGGTGGGAAAACCAGACAGGAAGTGGAAATGATGCAAGGAGAGCAGGAGAATTCTGGGGAGGAGGAAGTTGATTCCTCCCACTCCTGCCCAGATCACCGAAGCAGCAGGATGTGAGCTGCCCCATTGAAAAAGGTACTGAGCCACATGGCTAACATAGATCAGAAAAATGGGTTGATTAAGATGTGAGAGTTAGATAGTAAGAAGCCTGACCTAATGGGCCAATCAGCTTTATAACTTATAGAGATCTCTGTGTGGTTGATTTTGTCTGGGACTTGTGGAGGTGGGAGGACTGGGCAGGACAGAAAAGCACAAACAAGCCAGCCCCCCTCATGTTACAATATTACATGTGCTTGGGACTGTTGGTATTTGTTTGTAGAGACTGAAAATGTATGTATTCAGAGGTTTTTTTTTTCTTTTTTTCAAGACAGGGTTTCTCTGTAACTTTGGTGCCTGTCCTGCAACTACCTCTTGTAGACCAGGTTGGCCTCAAACTCACAGAGATCTTACTGCCTCTGCCTCCTGAGTTCTGGGATTAAAGAAAGGTGCTATCACCATCCGGTGAGAATGATAATGTATGTATAAGAAGTTTATTCCAGATTACTAAGTAAACTACTTATGATGAACACTCTCTTCTTTCAAACAATAAACATTCATTATCCTCTCCTCTTCAAACAAAATCCAAACAACCCATATAAAAAGTCCCTGCTCATTTTCTAAGAAAACCCTTTTCTAACAAATATACTTGGTCACCAGACAGTTGTCCTTTCTCGTGGACCATGGTTATTCCTTCAGAATTTCTTTTTTATAACTCAGTTGAGTGTTATCTTTCCCACTAGTTAACAGTTATGGGTGGTTGCTTGAAATATATGTCATGAAATAGCTGAGTGTCTTAGCACGTATTTGTAACACTAGCATGGGAATAGAGAAAGACAATTTTCTGCACTTCAGGGCTAGCCAAACTATGTGAAATGGCATGCTCTGTATTCAATGAAGATATTCTGTTTCAAAATATAGGGTAAAGAGCAGCAAAAGAAAAAAATCAAACGTTGACCTCTGGCCTCCATAGGTAGATGCTCAGGACATACTCCTGTACACATGTTCACATACACATGGAAAGATGCATATGTATACACCAAACACATACCAGAAATTATATAACCCTTTACAGGATTTGAGTGAAACTTTTTCTGTTTCTCTTTGAAGGCTTATATAAGGCTCATAGATATAAAACCACTGCCTAGAATTGTTTACCCTGTTAATGGGAGCAACTCTCACTCCTGCAAAATTGTTCTCACTCCCAAAGTTTCAGCAGCTTGAAATCATTTTGATAAGTCAGGAAGACCATCAATGCTCAGTTTCACACCTTGAATGCATCTTAGCTTGCTCTTCACCAAAGAATGAATCACACATTCAGAGTGACTCATTGATTAATCATGGATTTGCATGTCTGAAAGTAGAAACTTGATGAAAATTTCCAGCTACAGGGAAATTATAAACATTGTCACAGCTGGAATCTATTTCAGTCGATGAATGGATTTTAGGAAAGTATATGTCATGAGCCTGTAACTGAGAAAAGTGCAGCAGAATATGTGTATTGGGAATATTAGTGTAGTAGGTGGTATGTGGGTAACAAAAATGAGGCAATCGCAACTATCATCTCATGGGAGTCCAAAAGGTATCAATAATAGGTAAATATACACCGAATATTTACATAAAAAATCAAGACAGTCCTGCTAGTGACTCACTACAGCAGACTAAATGATGAAGAAAACCTTCTTAAGTTCAATTCAAGCCTACAGTTTGGTCTTTCCATACTCTGCTACTTAGATGACAGTCTGAGACACAGTAGACATTCAATGAATGATTGCTAAAGTAATGTCAATTGCCAGGAGGACTGTATGTACAGTATGAGTGTGCTTATACCATTCCTTGCCATTGCAAAATCAAAAAATGCAGAATGTCTTTAAGCCTGGGCACTTTAAGATGCTGACACACCCTGAAAAAACAATAAGAAGTTCCAACAGGTAACTATGCAATTGTCAGTTTAAGAGTTTTGTTTCTTAGAAATGTTTATTTCAAATGTAAATAATTTGCAATATGATGTTGAGTGCAAAAGTATTCCACTTATATGAGTGTACCCAGGTGCTAGCCTTGCTACATATAAGGTATACAAAATGGGTTATACTCTAAACCTGTATTTCATTTTCTGAATATGAAATATCTAAGCCGTTGACTGTGAGACGCAGTCAGCATCCAATGACAGCAGATTTCAGATTTAGAGCTCTGGCAACCATGGCTAGTAGGCTGCACGTTCCATAGTTTGGGGATCAGGTTTGGTGGTTTACAACAATAAGCAACAGTTCCCTTTGCATTTCATAAGCAGTTAACAAATGGTTAAATACAAAGTAGATCTATTTACCTAGTCCTGACTACTTGCTAGTAGATAATTTTTAAAAAATTTTTTGAATCAAATATCTATCTTAAGATGGATATGAAATAAAGTGATACCAATGTTCAATGTGCCTGAAAAGCATATAAGGTGACGGTTGAAATACTCTAATTTTATTTTCAGGCTCTATTTGGATTTTAAAGTGTTTTCAGTCATTTCTGTATCTGTCACTTATTAATTATTATTGTTAACTCTTTTATTCATTGCTAACAGCAGCCCAGTTTTTAGCATAAAGTGTGTGCAGCATGGAAGGCATCTTGGTCTTTTGGAGGTCCTGAACATAAGGTTAGAACCAGCAAGCAACAGGAACAATCTCTCCTTTTAAATTTAAGATGGTTATAGAATTAGAAATAGAATGGTAAATTATACGTGGAAGAAGCTTCTTAATAACACCATGAACAAAAGAAGAATCAAATTAAAAAGATATTGGTGGATAACACTTCTCTAATTGGATAGATCTCTCAGTTTAACTTACTTTAAGGTCAAAAGAGGAAACTCCCTCTCCTCATCAACTGTGGGTGAGAACCACACCAGCACATATATCTCTCCTGAAATTAGCAGGATTTCTCTTCATGCTGTGAAAATAAGTTCTCTAGGTCACCTTGCATGTGCTCATTCCATTCCAATTCAGTTTCTAGGAAATTTTTATTAGTAATTTATTAGTAATTTTTATTACATAAGCTGCAAATGTAACCAATATATTCAAAATGCAAAAGACCCTTACTATAAATGCAGGAGAGCATGCACATGCCTTGACACTGTGTGGTATCAGATACACTACTGGATAAAGTTTATCCACTATACAATGAAGTTGTGAAGATCCACATTATTCCATGGATACCAACAGCAATGAAAATCAAAATTACTACCCTGAGAAGAGTTAACTCGGTCAGTCAAATGAAAAAAAAGAAAGTCAGCACAACAGGATGAAAATTAGATTCATACCAAGAGAGAACATTAGAGTGTAATGTCCAAAGCTGAAATAGGCCACATTCGAAAATAGTCAGTGAGTCACATTCTAAAGATATTGTAGAGATATGTAAACTGTCAATTCATTACCAATGTAGTGTAATACAAATTTTATATCACTAAGGACCGCAAATGTTCCCTTATGCTTCAAGGTTTCATGAATTTTGCCACTATAACCTACCACTGATTAATGTTTGAAAAGAAGTTTGTCCCATTAAAATTTCAATTTTGAAATAAATATCAGTGGAGTGTTGAGCTCTAAATGGGACATATATACCATAATCCTTTCTACCAAAGCTTAAAGAACATCTCCAGAAGAGGGACAGAGACTGTAAAGGCCACAGGATCCTAGCTGGTTTGGGGTGGCTCTGTGATATGGGCATGACAATTTGGGGGCTCTACAGGATCCCCCAAGCCCACCAGGACCACTGCCATGTAGAGCCGGTTAGCTGGCCAGTAAGTTTTCTGTATGTATATTTTGTTTCATGTCTTTCTGCTTGGAATTCCTTCTGTAAGTGGACCCAGAATCTGTGAGAGCTTGTAGATGGTCTATGAAGATATGCAAAAAGATCACAGGTGGAGTACCTGGGAAAATGTCCCCAGAGCCCTTCTGTATTTGGGTCTCAGGACCCTTCCTTATAAGAGTGGATCTCTCTGTAGATAGAGGTGCGGGATGTCCCGGAGTCTCAGCAAGTCCCACCTGTGAAACAGTTTGAGTCTGTCACCTTGGTTCACTTCGGCCTCGTTCTGTGTGCTGTTTTGTTCTTCTCTTCTGTGCGTCCTCCTTCTGATTTACAAGACTGATGTGATGACATAAACTCAATGTACAACTTCTTTGACTTTGATACTGGATCACTTACAGGACTTCAGAGAAAGGTCATAAGCATAGAGGCATATTTTTCTAAAAGGGAGGAGATGAACAACCTCTATCCACCTTAAACATTCCATTGAAAGGAGCAAACCTTGGCCTGTCGTGTGCTCGCCGCGCTGGCAGGATTGCCATCCAAGCTCGAGGCTGCACGGCAGCACACTTGTGTGGATGGGTGGCTGGGATACACAGCTTTGTTGTGACAATAGAGCAAGGCTGCCATTCACAGCTTGCAAGGGGCATGTGTGTTCCAATAGGATTTCAAACAGTAAACAGAATCTGGGGTTAATTACTAAGGCTGGAGAAATAAGCAGTCTTATTATCCCCATGCTGTCTGTTACTCTGCCACATGCAATGCTGGTGGATGGGTTCTCTCAGCCTGCCCTGAGGGCTGCATGCCTCAACTTCTGACTTCAGGCCAAACCTGGCCAAGGTTTGGCTCTGCAGGCCGAAGCAATGAGTCACAGTCACTGGCTATAGGTGTTAAGCCGGGGTGGCCATGTTATGACACTATAGCCAGACTTCCCTCCACTAGAACTGCTTTGGTCATTCAGATCGAATGGGTTATAAATATCTGTCATCATTTAGAGGGACTGGTTACAAATTATTATAGCTCAGGGTATGGAAAAGAGGACTTTATGTGATGCAAATTTAAAGTTATTTTGTTATAATATATGCATATTTATGTTCTTGTTTAAAATATTGTAACCATAGAAAATATTATAAACTACTGAGGGAAAGCAAGAAAAAACTTTGGTCAGAGTTTCTATGTTGTCTGAAAAACAAGAAGACTTTGGTAAGAGTCTTTATCTTGTTTGGAAAGAGAAAGAGAAAACAGGAGACTGAAAGAATAAGAGAGGAAAACAGATTAAAGGTATATAGAAACTTATAAAAGGCCAGAAAGGGATGTGAACTATGTTTGCTGTGGTTTCTCATACCTACTAATACTGATTATACTTGTTTTATTAAAAGGGTGTCTATATAAATTTTCTTGCAAGCATGGAGCTTAGACAAAAATGGCTTGGATATTTTTGCTGTCTCTGCCACCCATCACTGCTGTGGGTATCACCTCAGAATTTATATCTGAGCTCTGGTTACTGGATTTGGGTTAACAAAAATTCAGATCACTTTAATGTAGATAACGTTAAAATTATTTTATGCTGTTCTTTATTGAAAAGTTAGCTCTAGAGTTGCCCTGGTACCTTTTCCTTGCTTTCCCAGGAGACAACATTAACAGAAGGATACAAATTTGTTCTGTTTTTACCCTTGGAATTACTAATTCAGTTTCTTTATTAGTTTCAATTCAAAATAATATTTTTTAAGGATAAACCTGACAGAATGAAAATTTTAGTCTTATGAAAGCTGCTAACTTATAGACTGTTAGGAAATACAAGTTACTCAGTCATCCTTAAAGTACTGATATAATTAATTATAGAGATAAACCTTATTTAGTTCCCTGTGTATGTTTTCAAAGTCAAAAGGAAAACAAGTCACTATAAGCAAAGTTTGTCTAATCAGGTATACCTAGGTAACACTCATACTTCAGAGATCTGCAGAATATAATATAAAAAATGATTAAAAGCTTATTATATAAGTCAGGGACTATGAGATTCTAGCAGTGATCCAAGGTCTCCAAAGAAGATTAGGGAACACCAAGATGTCTACAACTGGATTATGATGATGCTGACCATTGGGCAAGATGCCCGAGTGCAATACCTGCTACCAGAACCCAGTTCAGACTGAGGACAAACAGTAGGACATTAGAGAATTGATTGTATCACTTTTGCCTAGACAAAATAATGACAGTCCTTTCCATGCCCCTTTTTTACAAGAAAAAAAAATTCACATTATGGGCCTGGCTAAGACTGTAAGATTGCTGTTCTTATACTTCTGCCTGCAATGTTATGGAGACCTGGGTCTGGCTAACTGTATATGAAGTCGATTCCCTGTTATTTTTAGTAACTTCAGAAACTGCTTGGTTTGTACTCAGGTATAATTTATTTATCCTTATGGGATTTCTGATAGTATTGATTGCTAGGCTATCTATGACTTGGTCAACTTAGTAGCAGCAGGTATCCAGATCCTTCCACAAAGTTATAGCTAGGTTGTTATTACATATAATCAAGTCTTGTTTTTTTTAAAGCTATTAGGTCTCTTAATTTGAAAAGTTTTAAGGTATAAAAACCCATAAGCTTTGAGGATCTAAAAAAATCATTTAAGATGTAAATACCGGTTATGATATGGAAAAATGTTTCTGATTTCTTTCCCCTTCTATGGTATAGTTCTAATAAGCTGATACAGTAATGACTACTTACTGTTTGGGTCACAAGCTCATGATTTTAGACTTATTCTGGTTGCCATCTAAACGTGAACTTAGAGGTGTTTCTCTTCAGGCTAAGGACAACTCTTTAAAACCCATACTGGCTCTCTGGACAGCAGAAAAATATATACGTTTTTAATGAACATTTGTAGTTTTATCTGGGACTCAAAGGTATGAGTCTACCCCTGCTGTTTAAAGATACCCGTTATCTGCTTTGTTCTATAATATGGATTTCAATATGGGCCTGAAAGTTTCAAATGTATTCTTTTCCTTTAAGTACATAAATTTTAACTTCTGTTCCCAGTTTAAACTTATCTCAATATGTTTTTACTTGGGTGGGAGATACATCTAAGCATCAATTGTTGACTGCAACCTGCTCAAAATGACTGTAAGGTCTAGACTTGCTGATGGGGACCAGTTAAGCTGCAGCAGTCTGCAAACTACATTCTGCTGATGAGTGTCCTATTGCCTGAATTCTCTCCTTACCTTTAGCTAGCCTTTCAGACTTCTTGGGTCCTGATAACAATGCCCCAATGTCAGTTCAAAGTAGTTACAGAAAAGAACACATCATCCCATGCTCCTTGCCCAGAACAGGTTGAAATGCTGAGATAAGAGGGAACTCCCTGGCATGAAGGACAGAAATAGTTACCTATAATGTTCATTGACATAGAAAGGAAAAAAATTTGTCCATAGTTGTCATTTAATGGATTTATTAACTAAAATGTTTCTACAATACTAAGAAATCTTAGTTCTTTATGCAGAACCACAGAGCCAAAGAGAACATTCCAGATTGTAATTACAATTATGTTGTATAAAGGAACAGAGCTACAGAGCATGGTAGGCTAGCCACTGACTTGGAAAAATCGATTAGCTAATGATTCTTAGGTCCCAATAATATCTCCTTAAAGACCTGGGAAAGCAGGGCCCATGATTGGGTGCTGTCATTGGTACTTGTGAACAGGGAAATGTAAAACCCAGCCATGACAAGCTCAACAGAGGCATGAGTCTCAGTAGTTTACCCTAAGGCAATATCTAGTTCCAAAAAAGATGACAAACTGAGACTACCCAAGTACCACCCATTGAAAGGAAATTGTTAATGTCCCAACCATTGTATAGGATCACCTGCTAGACATGCCCATAGCTTTTCACCAGGACACCCATAGACAAATGTCAGCCAGTCGGGGGTCCTGAACCTTAGAAATCCCTCACCTCTACCTTTGCTACTATAAAACCCCAACTCTAAATGAGCTCAAGGCTGTTTGATGACTCTAATACGTTAGACATGCTGAGAGTCCCAGCTTGCAAATCTGTGTAAGAATAAAGACTCCTTGCTTTTACAGAACAGGATTCGGTCTCCTAGTCAGTGTTGCGGGTACTCCATGATTTGAGTATAACAGAAAGAGCCTCTGTACTCAAGAATTCCGAGCAGCTTGGGATGTCTGTAAAAGCCTTGGACAAAATGAAACCAGTTCAAATTCTAGCATGTGTGGAGGAGGAGGACATGAGCCGGACTCCTGAATGAGCGGTAACTGACATCTGATAGATGCTGGGAAAGATACAGTGAATGGACACATAACAATAGACATAAAGGAAGCATTAACTGGTATTTTTAAAAGAAAGAAAGAAGACATTAATTTGGAAAAGGAACATGAAAGAGATATTAGAGAGTAGATGAGGGGAGAATGAGGTGTACTCAATATGACCAAAATACCATGCATGTAAATAGAAGACTCTCCATAAAAGATAAAATTATATTAAAATAATAAGCATCATTACTAAATACTCCAAGGTGCAGTGGACTTTAGATAAGAGCATATTATCATTATCTATTTCAGAAAAATGACAATATTGAAATAAATTTATAATTTCTTTTTCCCTCAGATGACAAGGTCTCTAGTCAAGGCTAGTTTTATATTGCCTATGCATTCGAGAATAAGAATAAGAAGAATTCTTCTTCCAAGAGTCAAATCCTGGGACCACAAGTGTACATGACCATGCACATTTTGTCGGGTGATGGATTTATGATCCAGTTCCTCCTGTATGGTACGCAAGCACTTTAACAATGTATTTCTAGTCCAAAACTTAATTAAATACATTCTTAACAAAATAACCAGCTAATCAGATTCAAAATGGCACCAAGAAATCATTCCATTTTGGCGATGTTTCAGTGCCCCATCATAAATGAATGTTGTACTTTAATGCAACTTAAATATCAGAAGATGAATATTCAAATAAAACAAAAGGGAATACATAATTTGAGATCATTATTTTCCTTTCTTTTTGCTACTTATGGTGTACTTTCAAATAATAGTACCTTTTTAAAGCCCCTACCCTACTGCTTATAACAGACCATCCTGCCATGGCCCTAGCAGAGATTCTCAAGAGTACAGATTTACTTTTGCCTCCAGAAAAACTCCATTTTACAACTGAACAAAGAGAGCTGGAAAAGCTCTTTTGGGCATATAAATAATTCATACTTGCTACCTCTCCTCAAATAGTCCTCCAGATCCTGCCCCCAATTGTAGTATTTCGATCTACTCACTCCTATATTGCTACTTGTTTGTTCCCTGCCGCCCGGCTATCTGAGACCTGAAACAACATTATTTAAATCACTCCTTGGCCTATTAGCTCTAGCTTCTTATTGGCTAACTCTTACATATTTATTTAACCCATCTCCATTAATCTGTGTATCCTTTTGTGGCAATGACGTATTGGCAAAGTTTCATCACGTCTCACTCTGGCTACAGTTCTACGGGGTCTCTCTGCCTCTGCCTTTCTTTTTTTCCCCACCATTCAGTTCTGTCTTCACAGCCTACCTAAGTTCTACTCTGCTATTGGTCCAAAGCAGTTTCTTTATTCATTAATGTAATCACAACACACAGAAGGGACTCCCACATCACTCCTATTTGCCCTTAATTACTCTTTGCTATTTTATGCTGGACAGTTTTATTTATGCTTTTGCTTTTTGGCAGTATTTCCACAATTCTTGTGACAGGGCTACTTGTCATTAGAAATGACATAGCCCTTTTATTAGTGTGCATTTGTGACCTTTACTGGTGTTGTGATTTGAAAGCAACATGCCCAAAACTTGCTTCTACTTACTTTCTTACTTGTAGGTTTAATGGATTCTTTATTTTTATCTCTGATAGATCAGTTAATAACAAGTCAACTATGGACAATATATATTACAAAAGATATGTTATATAGCTACAAAGAATTCACAGATAACTGTGACACAATTTCATTGTAGAAAATGTCTAAAGCAATTTCTTATTCACTGTTGTTTGCTTGTTTATGTGTTTGTTTTGTTTCTTTGGTATAGAATTGATATTGAACTTGAACTTGAAGTTCGATAAGCACTTCAGAAGACTGAGATTGAATTTTTGGAAGAGACATTGTTTAAGGAAAGGAATGTGGGCAATATGCATTTACAGGGTTCTAAATGTGGTTGTCACTGCTCATACAAAGAAGTCTTCATGCTGTCTCCTGAAAAGTCTTTTGGTCTTTAAAAATAGTTCTGATTATGCATTTTAACACTGGGACATAAAGGTTTGTGATTTTGGCTATATAAATCAAATTAGAAAACAAAAGAAGAAAAAAGATAAAAAAACAACTGAATACATGTTACCCGGTTGAGATTATTTTCTATTGTATTGTGAATTTCAGCACTTTATAAGGGTGTCTGTTCATTTTGAGTTTAAAAGTAATGCAAAAATCAAAATTGTGGTCAGAGTACTTCATTTTGGGTACTGGATGACTCATCACTTTCATATTGTGAACGTTGAGAGAATAATTCTTTTGAGACCAGTCATGTATAAATCTTGGAAACTAGGTTTCATAAAAATCTTACTAATTCTGTGATCTACCACAAATATTAAAAAGAAGTAAAGTTAAACTTTAAAATCTAAATATGTTGTTTTCAATTAAGAACCATGGCTCTGCAGGATGGTTGTAAAGGTAGGCAAGGAAAATTAAAATAAATGGCAAAAGAAAGGAGGTAGAGTGAGAGAGAAGCCATGTAGCCCCATCCAATACAGACATGCTGAAACTTTAGCCGGTAAACCCCAGCCACCTGGTTATACACAAATTAATGGAGATGGGTAAATTAATATGTAAGAGTTAGCCAGAAATATGCTTAAGCTATTAGCCAAACAATATTGCAAATAATATAGTTTTTGCGTGATTATTTTTGGGTTTAAGCTGCCGGGTGCCTGCAAACAAGTTATCTCCTCCTAACAACAAATTGGCACTCAATTGGGGCTTGAACCAATGACAATGAGATTAAGAGACTCATGCTCTACCTACTGAACTAGCCAGAGGGCCAGGAAATAGGGAGTCTCCTTTTAACAACAAGCCTGGTTTACACAGTGAGTTCCAGGACAGTCAGGGCTGTCACACAGAAAAAACCTGAACTATGGCTATTACTGACTAGGTACAAGGGTAAGTGGGAGGAAGGACATAAACATAAAGCAGAATGCCAGTGTTTGGAGTTTGGTAAATACTACAGTGACTTATACCTCAAATCTCAGGTGTTATTACATGGATGATAATGAGAAAATTCATAGATGACTCATCTGGTGTGGGGACTTGCATTTCAAAAAAGTATATAAAGAACCGGTGAAGTACCCAGAATCCCAGCCAATAAGATGAATTTTAAAGTCACTAGAGTCCTATATTTGATCTGGACATATGACCAAACCAAGGGGAAAAGAGGGATGATTGGATTTGAGGTCTGTTTTGTAAGTGTGTAGAGCTTAGCCTCAGGCAAAGAGGGCATTTCTTCCTTGCCTACCTCAGGTCAAGGTTGAGGGAAGATCTAGCCTACACTTACAAAAAATGAAAAAAGAAAATCCTAACAATGAATATTACCAAATAACATAACAATATCTACTTGCACAATCCAAACACTCAAATACGTGAAACACACACACACTATCACTTACCTTCAATTCTGCAATGGATATTCAATCTGCAAACAACTTGATTGTAAATAGATATATGTTTGCTTCGTCGGATATTTAAGTTGAATTTTACCTTCTGAGAAGCTATTAGAACATAGTATTCTTGTGATTTTATTTTACAGAATAATGTTTAAGGATAATAGTATTTTCTAGTTGTGTAATTGTCCAGGTACACTGCAATGACTTCATCAGTTCAACACAAATGCTCTGTATATTCAAAGGACAACTTTCTGGTAAAACAATGTTGTAGCAACAGAATACAAAATGGGTTAGGATAAGTGGATGTGATTGGAACACATAATTGATATATTGAAATGGAAGCTGACATGGAACAGCAGAGATGAGAGAGTGGGTGAAGGATGTGCTCAGTACATCTTCCAGAGTGCTCATCATTCAAACCACAAATTCTACCTCTGGAAAAACCCTGTATATGACATACATATGACTATTTTGTATTCCTTTCTCAGACTTGGTTTTAGCAAGCACTAACTGTAAAAATGAACCTTAAATTGTTAATCCCATTGTACAAGGAAGTACTACAGATTATAAGAAATCTAAAATTTAAAGATACATCTATGTAATTCACTCTACCTGTATAGAGATGATAGGGCACTTAATTCCTTCTTGATACTAAAATCAAGTAATTTTAGACAAGAATAGAATAATATTTTAAATCAAAAATAGAGATGATGTCTATATCATCAGAGTAATGAGATAATCACCTTGGATTGATTAGTTGCTTAGGATGGATCCTCTAAAGTCTTGACATAGAAGAGTGAATTAGAATTGGTGGTAAAACAGGAAGGCATCATTAACAAGTGAAGGAGACAAAAATATTATCAGAACTGGGGTTATTATCCATGGACTAAGCAGAGTAGAAGGCAGAATGTTCACAAATTAAGAGACGGAAGTCAGGAAGAAGGCAATGTCATGAGCTTAAATTCTTAATAATAACAAACAATGCACGGATCAAAAAGTAGTAAAAATATATGTTGTCGATATTTCAAAAATTTTGATGCATTATTACAGCCCCAATTTTACATGTTTTTATGTTTTCTGGGACTCATATTTTCAATATATAAACAGTATTAGTATTTAAAATAATTAAAATAACATTTTGCATAAAAATTCATACATCTGAGAGGGACATTAGAAAGTCTCAATGTCAGTCAATTACTTCTACAAGAAAAGTAATCAGTTTAAGTATGGTGGCACATTTTTTATATTTTTAGCAGCTGGGATGCTAAGAGCAGCCTAGGCTATAAACTGAATTCTAGAATGTTCTGAGGTATAAGTGAAGCCCTCTCTTAAAGAGGATAGGTTTAAGTGGAGAAAATGAGTCTAAAAAGAAAAAGATGCTGAAACATACATATACAAATATATACATATAAATAAATATTTTACATATATATATACATAAATATGTAAAGAAAGAGTAGACTTAATATGGTAAATAATGATCCCACAAGAGGTCATAAGTTGCTCAATGTCAGGTGTGGGATATTTCCACTTAGGTTTTTGTTTAGGAGTTTTCCAACGACCCCACATATTCAGATTATTCTCATTGCTCTTGATTGCCATTAGAACTTGTTAATAAGTCTCTTTAGCTAATAACATCAAACTTTTAGTCAAGAACTTGAAGATATCTTCAAGAAGCTTCTTCCTTGTTGGTTAATTTTCTCAGTACCTGAAGATGGTACAAATGATTGGAAAAAGGTTGGTGGAGAAATGCCATCAATGATTTTATTGAATTGTGAATCCAATGTGCTGAAATAAGACCAGCTTGGCACAATATGTCTGTGTGTAAAAATAGCATGAATATTATGGCATAATCAGCCCCATTCTGATTAGATTTTGAGAGCTTCTGCAGGAATAAATCCATGAACAATTTTGTAAATCTTCCCAAGAACCTGTGACAGGGAAGTTCATAGTCCCTAGGTGGTGTAGAAAGTGCCTTCTGTTTGCATGTTGTTTTCATTGGTTAATCAATAATCATGGAAATGTTTGCTGGATACTATGGGCCTGTAGGCTAAAGATGGATAACCCAACGGTACAGAAAAACTTTTGGTGACTGTGCAGGCAGTGAGATATCTCTGTCATTTCTACAGTTCTGGAAGTTGTTTACTTATTGTTTACTTAGGTAATATTATATCCTTCTGGAGTCTTTGATGTAGTTAAAAACATAGATAGATAGCTATAGTTATAGTTTTCCTTTGTTATAATAAAGGATAATATATATATATATAGTAACTATAATTCTTGCTTTATAACTATTTTGTTATATGTAATTTTCCTATGTTAAAGTTAATGCCTTCCTTTCCTTTTTAAACAGAAAAGGGAAATGGTGTATGAGGTCATTCTGTTTATGTGTTGTTTTCATTAGTTAATCAATAAAGAAACTGCTTGGCCTGATAGGGCAGAACTTAGGTAGATGGAGAAGACAAAACTGAATGCTGAAAAGAAGGGCAGATGCCATGGATATCCTGCTTGAGATGAACTCTGGCTAGAATCTTTCCCATAAGCCACAGTCATGTGGTGATACACAGATTTAATAGATTTAATAGAAATGGGTTAAATTAAGATATAAGAATTAGCCAAATAAAAAGTTAGAGCTAATAGACCAGGCAGTATTTAAAAGAATATAGTTTCTGTGTGATTATTTCAGGTCTAAGCTATCTGGGAGGGAGGCCAGGACAGAACAAAGGGATTCCTCTCTGTGCAACACCTAGAGATGAACATACAACTGTTTGTTAAGAAGAAGTACAAAACTGCCTTCTAAATAGATATATCTGTACACACAAATACACAAATTTTAATGTATTCATTAATACACAAAAATTAATGAAGCCTTTGCTAGTGGCTCTTGGTCTGAGACCAGAGAATAGGTGTCGCTCTAATATTTAGTCACAAAATAGGACATCTCTACCTTACTGCTTTCCAACAAAGGCTCGGGAAGTAGCAAAGAAGTGGAGGCAGTAGGATTAGTAGGAGTCAAAGATAGGGAAGATTATGAGAAAACAATGTCCTCTGGGCATAACAAGACCACTGAATTCATGAACTCACAATATCAATTGTTGCCTATACAAGATGAACTCAACTCCTTTCCAGCATGAATGGAGGTGAAGGGTATGTTAATTCACATGCCTATCTAAGGGTATATTGAAAGTTGACAGTTTATGGCTATTAGGGAAGGAACATTAGTTTTATTAGGGGTGAGGTCTCTAAGGGTTAAAAAATGCTCTAGTGATGGCCTAATATGCAGAAATACACGGGCAGTAGGAACAGAAATTATCCTGCATGGTTATTGATAAAAGGAGGAGGATGTGAATTTGAGAAGAAATAAAAAAAAGACTCAGAAAGAGCTGGAGATCACGGGTACTAACAATGATTTAAATATATTATATACATATATGAAAATCTCAAAGAATATATAATAAATAAAAACAGACATAAACAGTATTAATGAATTAATATTTGTTAAATCCATACTATTATTAAGAGTTTACTGTTCTGATAAAGAGTAACTGCTTGTATCCCCAAATCCAATATGAATAATAAAATTGTTGGTTTTTTTAAAGAGACTATTTTTATGACATTTCATTTTATTGAACTATACATTTTTCTCTGTTCCTCTCCGTTCCTCTCCTGTCCCTTTCAACCTTCTCCCATGGTCCCCATGTTCCCAATTTACTCAGGAGATCTTGTCTTTTTCTATTTTCCATGAAGATTAGATTCACATATGTCTCTCTTAGGGTCCTCACTGTTGTCTAGGTTCTCTGGGATTGTGAATTGTAGGCTGGTTTTCTTTGCTTTATGTCTAAAAGTCACTTATGAGTGAGTATATATGATAATTGTCATTCTGGGTTTGGCTTACCGTACTCAATATTGATAGGGGAGTTCAGCCAATCACATTCTGTTTGTGGGGCGTGTCGCCCTTAGGCTAAAGCTTGCCTATAAACCTGGCAAGTGCGCTTCCACTAGCTCTCTCTCAAGCCTGGCTCCTGCATCCTGACAGATCGTTTGGATTCTGGTGTAAGCTGGTGTAAGTCTTCTGTTTATTAAAGCTGTATATTTTGTATTAAGATAGTCTGGGGACTTTTCATTACCAATTGCTGTGTGACATCATCTGATGCCCAACGTGGGGGCCTTTTCCCCCCTCGTGGCAAGGGTCTAGCAGCCTGAGCACGCACCTGGGGTCTCTCTGCAGCCCCACGGCTTTTACCCTGACTAGTCAGCTCATAGCTTAAGTGCAAACCGCATTCGCGGGACCGCTGCCAAATTAGCAGGCAGCTAACTTCTTTGCGTACACCTAAAAACATGCGTGCTAGATCCCAGAGCCACATACAGCTACTGGCTCCTGACTGGCCCTGACCTCGGGCAGACCAGGGAGGGGAGTTCTTGGCTTCTGCTACCTACCACGGGCAGTGACTTCCCCACCTGAACAGGTGCACACGATCTGTGAATTTAACCTCTGGATTTGAGTGTATATATTTTAGAGTTTGCTTACTGGTTTGACTCCATTGCCACGTGGATTCAGGTGCGCCCCTACCACCTACTAGCAGGCAACGGTCATTACAGGTAAGATTTTTCGGTTGAAAATAAATACATACATACATACATACATATATACAAGTATGATTTCTTTTGATTGAAAGTGTCAGAAAATATTGCTATCCAAAAGTTCAATGGCTTTTTTAATTGCGCTATGGAGGATATTCTGAAGGATGTCTCTGATATTCCTCTTACTTGGTTATTTCTGGGATCTGTCACTTTTCTGGTGTTTGGCTATTTTATAAGGATGATGCAGTCCTTATGGATTTAATCCACAATGCTGAGGGCAGAGATTAAAACCTTAAGGACAATTCAGACTGACACCAACCTCCTCAAAAAAGAGTTTGGAGTTTACAAGGAGGAGACTAGATCAGAGTTTGCAGTTCTCAAGGAGGAGACTAGATCTTTGTCTGATATGACTTGGTTGACTGACCAAAATATCCAGTAGTTAGAGTCTTGGTGTGGGAGAATTATCTGTATTCTGTCAATCATATTTTAATAAAACGCTGATTGGCCAGGCAGGCAGTATAGGCGGGAAAGCCAGACAGGAAGTAGGGGTGGAGCAAAGAGACTGGGAGTATTCTGGAAGCAGAAGCTCTCTCTCAGCCACTCCTGCACAGACCACCGAAGAGGCAACATGTAAGCTGTCACACTGAGAAAGGTACTGAGCCCATGTGGCTAAAATAGATAAGGATAATGGGGTAATATATGTTATAAGAGCTAATAAGTAGCCTGACCAAATGGGCCAATCAGTTTATAATCTTATGGAGTCTTGTGTATGATTTTCCTTGGGAGTTGCCAGTTGTGGGGTACCGGGCGGGACAGAAACCCCAACAAGCTGGCCCCCTCATGCTACATATGGCGCCCAGACGTGGACAACTGTATCCACATAAAGCCTGAGACAGCTTGGCAAGTAATTCTAGAACAAAATGACAACATTGTGTGTGGTTTCTTGGTAGCAGCAATTTCTCGGGTCTGCTCTGCTTGCTAGAGGCAAGCAAGCACTCTCATCTAAGAGAGGCTTCCTGACTCAGCTTTAGCTGCAAAACCCTGCAGCTCTTTTAAGGGGTCCTGCCGCGAAGCACTTAAACGGTGTTGATGAAAAGCTGAATGCATGCTTTTCGGTTTTCAGCCGTAACAGGAAAAAAAACTGCGCTGTTTTAAAATGCCGTCTTTCTGGGCCGTCCTGCCAGGGCAAACTCTGACTCTTTCAGGCAGGCGGTCCGACTGAGTGTGGTCTGTGAGCAGAATGCTGCAGCTTGCTTGCTGACAAGGACCTTGAAACACGACAAGTTGTGGCAGTGAACACAGCTGTGGCTGGTATCTCAGCTATGAGTCTGGAAAGCTAAGGAATGAGCTGGATCTAGCTGTCAAAGCCACGGCTTCCCATATTGCTTTGTAAATTAAAGGCTCATGTGGTCAGAAAAAGAGAGATAAACAGTAAAGAGAGATTCAAAGATGAAGAAAACCTCTAAATGGTTTACAGTGTGTATATGCAGGCTAAAAGTTAAAGTTCTTAAAGTTAAAAGGAAAGAAAGAGAGTAGTTGGGTGTGGTGGTACACACCTTTAATCCCAATGCCTGGGAGGCAGAGGCATATTGACCTCTGTGACTTCAAGGGGTAGAGGTAGATTGACCTCTGTGACCTCAAGGTGTGGTAGTACATGCCTTTAATCCCAATGCCTGGGAGGCAGAGACAGATCTCTGTGAGTTCAAGGTGTGGTAGCATACACCTTTAATCCCAGCACTGGGGAGGCAGAGACAGGAGGATCTCTGTGAGTTCAAAGACAGCCTGGTCTACAGAGTTATTCCAGGACAAAGATATACAGAGAACCTGTCTCAAAAAGTAAAAGTAAAAATAAAAGAAATAGAAGTTAAAATAAAGATGGAAAATACACAGAGAATCTTGATACCGTATGTTATTATGCTCTCTTTGAATTGTTTGAATGCTGAGGAAGGAGCAACAGCTGCTAAAAGACTTTTGTTTATAAATGCTGCTGAATTAATCCAATATAGATATTTTGAAAATACCTTGGCTTCAAAACTGAAGTCAAAAGGTATGTTACTTTGGAGAAGAGATTTTGCTTTTGTTTCCACAGAAAACGAGAGACTCTGGATTTATTCAGAGTTAAGAATAATCACCTTTGACCAAGGGAGGCCACCTGAAAAATCTCTGATAGGAACAGATGGCCCAGATGACAGAGGTCTACATCCAGAACTGATCCAAGACTGCTGCCTGAGATGATCGAGACTCACAGGATACTCCAGTCATGACTTGATTATAACTCTAAATTTTCTTTAGGCCTCCTTAAGACTATCAGCGCCCCCAACCAGCAGGAAGTAGCTTGAAATACTATGCCCATGTTCCCAACAAATGGATTATGGGTATTTTCCTTTGTTTAAAAAAAAAAGAGAGGGAAATGGTGTGGGAGAATTATCTGTATTCTGTCAATCATATTTTAATAAAACGCTGATTGGCCAGGCAGG